TTGCATGTTGCATGTTGCTTACTAAGCTCGAAATGTATTATGTTCATATGTAATTAATTACAGAAGAAAAAATACCGGAAATGTTCATATCGTTGTGGTATTCACATTGTCCATAGTGCAATTCGGGCTTGGAATGCAAAATGCAACATGCAGCATGTAACATGCAAGGAAATCATCGCCAACCTTTCTTAAAATACCTTTATACCAAAAACAGTTCAAGGATCCTTGAAATTAAAAATATGTAAATGATATTTGACTTTTTAAAGAAARAGGAAGAGTAGTTATAACTAAGTATCATCAGCTTTTTCTTTTGTTCATTATTTCTTTCTTCTAACATTTAAGTTCATTTTTTCATTTTCTTTCATTTTTCATTTTTCTTTCTTCCTTCGATCATTTTCAGGTAACGCATCAGTTTATTSTTTTTTTCCTCTTTTCTCCAACTCTCTCTCTTTCTTCATCTAAAAGCCCTGTTACACAATGAAACTGTAAGCTGCAACTTGTGTGCAACAGCGTTGCAAGAAGCGTTTTAAGAGGGTGTTACACGGCGCAATAATTTCGTCAAACCATGCACTATCATCTKTCATGTCTATATAGCCTGCTCGCTGCTTGCGCACAAGTTTCAGCTCTAAAAGTTTCAAAGTGTAGCTTCTCCTTAGCTCATAAGCTCTTTCTTCTATCACTTCATTTCTTTTTTTCTACGGACAGGACTAGTCTCCAATGATTGCACTTGATAACACGATAACTTGACATCAAATAATAATATCTATCACCTATAATATGCATCACGTGCAAGATAAAGTGCATACCATCTGTGAAAATCTTTACAAGAAATTGCAGTAAATTCAGTAAAACGTAGACCTACGAAATTTTGCTCTAATTTGTACAATTTTGTTAGTAACTTTTTCATGGATATAAGGTAGAGTGCAAACAATATATCCTTGAAATAGTACTAACGAATTGGTACAAAATAGCACCAATGAAACAATTGAAAACAAAAGAAACAAATGTGTTTAGTGCAATTTAGTTCTTGTGCTATATTTTACGGATGTATGGTTTGCAGTCTAACATAGTAAAGTACATACCATATACCCGATGAAAAATTAACTAACAAAATCGTACAAATGTACAAAATGTACAAATTAATACATATAACTGAATTGAACTGTCATTACTATGAAACTATCACACACACAAAAAGACTTGTGATACGAATATTAGCAGCCCGTCTTTTTGAAAAAACATTCAGTAAAACTTTGAAATGATTATTATAAAGTTGGGGCGTAAAAGGATTTTAAAAACTGTAATAAATAGTGAACTTATTTCTTTTGAAGCAGCAATGTTACATTTTTGTAACGTYCATTTTTGTAAATTCAGTCGTTAAAAACTGCGATTACTAATGATTAAAAAGTTTTGGGCTTATAAGAAGCCAAAATATGTAATAAATAGTCTTAACTTTCTTTTGCAACAGCAATCTTACCGACATTTTTATAACTTTTTGTGAATAAAATATTTTCAGTCTCCACTGTAATTAGGCATCGAAATGATTCTAGTTTTGGCGAGTTTTTCTCTGAGTAAGCTTTGAATTCTTTCCAATAACTACAAGGAATATGTATTGAATTATAGAAAAAGTTATTCTCTTCTAAGTCTCAATACTACGAAAATATATAAAAAGAAAGATAGGACCTTGTCAAGAGTGACAACCATTTTAAGAAATCCATTTTTCAGCACCACCTCTAGTGACATATCACGGAATCGAAAAAATAAATATTTAACTCTTGATAGTTGAAAACATTTCTAATTTCATAAAAATTGCAAACCCTAAGCTTTGTAATTTCAATAGTAAYGCATTTTAATTCAGATATACTTCTCCTACACTTGGGGGGATAAACTCCTATACATTGTTTATTATAACTATCTAATTGGTCATTCTCATCTCTTTCAAAAACGCAACTTATTTGGCTTGAAAAATACATATTGATGTTTTATGAAGCTGTTCTACTGAGAGATGTTGATTGACTATTTCAAAATTGAGCTTGCCTTGAAATATTCCTATTTGTGAATAAAGTATGAATACTGAGTATGAATACTGAGTATAAAAGCGAAAGATATAGAGTACGCCTTGGACAGAGATGATTTCTCGCCTTGTCATGAAACGCATTATTCAAAACTTAAAATACTGGAAATATATCACGTTCCACGATACAAGAATAGATTGATAAACATATACCCCATCAAAGTATGGTTCCCTATCGTGTATTCATTGATATCCACTCTGGTCTTTGAAAACCGAGCGTAACAAACAGTGGATGATACATGTACATCTGCAGTGAAATCCAACAGTGTACGTCTTTAATTTGGTTTTAGGTTCCTCTAAATTCTAAACAGAACAATGGWTTTTCGCTGGGATTGAGTGTTTTGCCGCTTGAAAACAATGTYCTAAAGTAATTCTTTATGTAAAAAAATAGACGGATGAAAAAAGAAGGTGGGAGATATGAAACGTATGGGGGAAAATAAGGTCATTACTTCGTATAAAGGAAGCGGTTTCTTTGTGCCCAAACCTAAGGTAATAAGACATGGTAAGCTTAATGAGGACAAATCRCACTAACTCAGTTTAATAGGATTTGTATATCAGACTAGATCACCGTTTGTATTTGAAATAAAAACTAGCGTTTAGAGATGAYATTTTGTTTGGCTATGGAAGCTGAAAATGAGATTATGAGTGAAAAAACAAACTAGATCATTCGCGAAATGTAACTTAAAAATACCAGAGCTAAGATTGTCTTATTAGGGTCAGAGAAAGTCCCAGAGCGTGAAAACCACTGAGTTTGTACTCGATTGTTTATGTCTGGATTAAGGGAGTAAGGTAGTGGAATTCATACTTCCAAATTATTTGAGAGGAAGCGACCTCAAGAGTTCTCAAAGAGAGGTCGACGCTAATAACCCACATCCGAACAATCTATTTAGTTTTCAAATTAAGCGGCAAAATAGATTCTYCGCATCATTTCTCTTCAAAATTTTCTCTTAATTTCTTTTGTGTAAGATCAGAATACCACTAAAACTCTACGGGAATTTTTTAAGGGCATGCATGCTTTTTACATCAGCTTTTCTTCAGTATTTTTGCTTTGGGATTTTTTTCTTTTCTTCTTTGGAAAGAGAGAATTCATGCGAGAATACAATATAATTTCCGGTGGGAAATTTTTAATAATSTGGTGTAAGCTGTCGTTCAATTAACAGTGAAAATACCGCAATTGGACGAACAATTCTAGGATAATATTGGTAATTTCATTCCAAACGTTTCTAAGAGGTTAATTTTAAAAGGGAAATAGTTTGCTTAAGCAAACACATTCTGAGTCGTGTTGTTGGTAATAACCATCAAGGTAGGGAGAAAAATCTAAAAAAAAATTACTTAGGAGAGCTTGCTCGGTTTGTTATGCAGTTTCAGAGACCTCTTCATGCATGAAATTGCACCCTTTTTCCCCTATATATATATAAAAATATCAATCCAATTGAGTTGAATGAAAGACATTTATGTTTCTAGTTTGTGAGCTCAATAATAGTGCCCCATTTGAAGGAACAACACTGTATCGAAAGTGCTATTGATTCAGAATTTCCAATCAAAGAATTTCATATTATGTTTGAAGAAAAAAAAGCAAACATACTTTCATCCCTGGTTTTATATAAATTCGATTCCAATATCTTTATTTAACTCTAGGATAAACACTTAAAAAAAAAAACCTTAATTGTGAGCCAAAAAAAATCCTTAAAGTATTGTCCGGAATGATCCACCCTCAGTCRGTGAAATACCTGGTTCGGTGTAATTCACTCGTTTTTAAGAGAATGGTTTACTTAAATTACGTGTTAGCTTTGCGGTCGCTTTACCCATMTAGTGTATTAGAAAGTCCTTCATCTTAATAGTAAAAAGTCGATGACAGCGATTTCGAGTGAAAGCCAAACAAACGCTAATGTCTTTTTAAGAGGTGATGGCCGGCTCGGAATTTTAGGTCTACACTGCTGTTTGACAAGTTTGCTCGCTGTAATTTCAAACACGTTTTGTCTCATAAACTAAATCTGGCTCTACTCAGTAATCAAACATTGTATAGGTTCAATTTTCTATCCATTTATCATTGGTTATTCTTTATGCAATTTAAGCTGATGCTTATTTGAACTTGGACTTTCAGATGATRTCGGACACTGAGAGAATATAAACCTTTGAAAGGAGTTGTATGGCACGAGTCTTAAATCTTTAATTTTACTAGTTCAGAATGAAATGAATATGTCCCTTTGGATTATATCATAAACAAGCGCATCGCGTGAATGCTAAACTGAAGTTTGATTTGTTCCAGAACGAATAGCCTTTAACACTAGGAAACTATAAATCCATCCCTTATGTTCTCTCAGGACCCTTCGAACCACGACGGTTCTATTTTCAAATCTATGCATACAAAGGCAGCATACTAATCAAAGACGACCCCTCAAGCAAGATGCTATGATCTTGAGAGCGCTAAAACAAATCGACAAAAGATTCTAGTTCGGGCATATTACCGCGTAATTGCATTCATGTGTAAAGCAATGGGGTCGAAAATTAGTTAGTRAAGTGTCTGCTCCTGAAGAGATGTTACGAAACAAAACCTCAAAATGGCAAAAAAAAAAAACATCCTAAAGCTACTACAATCTTAAATCGTGTTCAATAAAGAGCATTTAGATTCTTTGGTGTTAGGGAAGGTGTTGGGAGTTTGTTTAATTGACGGGGATATAATGCTAGTGTAAAGRGAAAAAAAGTGTGAAAATTTGATGACCGATGTGCGAGAATACAATCATCCCAAGATCTTCCACGTCGGCAAGGATGTCTTTGATTTATTTGATGGGACTCCATCAGTGAACTTGCTATAGCTTTGTGTGGTTATACATCTGTTAACCATAGAATCTTACCTTCATAGATCCTGCTATCYACTAGGAAGAAGAAGTAAAGTGAGTCTGTAGTTGAAGTTTTCACTCTCAAAAGCGTGACACAACTCTTATGGAGGATGGAAACCTTCCTTCGAAGAAGAATGCACCACCTTCAAAAGAACCGCCATCTTTCTTTGAAAAATAAAAAACATCAATTTCTTCCCGTTTTGAGGACATTACCTCTTTCTACTAAATCGTCCAGACACCTCAAAGGTTTGGTTTAAGAATTCCAGTTTGAAACTCAAGTAGATGGAATTTAACTCAGCGTGTGTTTGAAAGAACTGACCAACTTGTATGATTAAAACCCGCTGGGATTCAGGCCTTCGTCCAGCCCCACACCGAGCGCGCGAATAAAGACRACACTAAGTGCCATTCTCACTTTATTTGAACTTGTGTTGTTTATTTTGGAGGTGTTGGTTTTATAAGATTTGGGGACTTTTTCGTTTTGCGTGAAAAGTTCCTTCTGTTGACTTAAGAATTTTGGCAGATGCCGACACATTCAAAAAAGAGCCGCTTTTTTTCCAATTACTGTCTTCGCTTCTTACACAACGCATCTATTGTCCAAGTCTTCTTTTGTTATTTTTCAAGAGTTGATGTTAAATCGATCGCAATAGTTTATTGTATTTCTATCTCCGTCTATTTTGACCTTATTTGTGTTAACGAATTGCTCGGCTGACTGGATTTGGATAATAGTGTCGAATTTATTAGTCCTTGATATTTGCCCTTGGCGAATTTGTACAAATTATGGCGGCTTGGATAATTATTCTTTGAGAATCCGGCTCTTTTGCAAGACCCACGAATCGTTTTATCCTTTCCTGCGCCATCAATTCAACGGAAGATATAATTGGTTGAAAAATAGACCAAAGTTTGTTTTTCGTAGCGTTTGAAATTCAACGTCAAATCAAGGGAAATATAAGTAATAACAGCATACATCTCTAACCCCTTGGTTTTTGGGTGAATATGAACGTTTAGCGCGCGACTCGCTACACACACTCAATATCAGATGATTGGATGAACGTGTAAATGGGTTTGCGYTAAGTTATATTTAGTTCAATATTTTTAAACTTTGGGAGACTGTTAACTCGCTTAGGAGCGCTCTAACACGTACAAACTCATGAATTAACACGAGTTTTCTAACTCATTTGGAGTTTCGAACGGCTTTGCAAAATCGCAAAAAGCCGGCCCCTGAGGCGTAAGCGGCACAGTATTGTGAGTAAACGTTTATCTTCCAYATAGATAAGTTGTCTTTCATATTCTGGCTTTCGTCCTTCTTTTAAGTTTAATTAAATGAGTAAATAAGACACGCTGGAGCGAATACGGGGTTCGAGTCACACTAGAATCACAGAACCGAAATGCAAAGGTTCAAGTAAGCTGCAATTCGGTATTTGGAGCGATACCATCTCACGATGAAGTACTTTCCCGTTCGTAAATCGATCTTTATCTCATTCCCCTTCTTACTCGGGTATTGTTTTGTTTCATTTCTCTTTCTTTAGCAAGAGCCAAAACAAAAAGAAACCAAATAACTACTTTTCATAAAGTTCTAAAATTAAGCCTTATATATAAGCCATGGACTTGCGCCTGACCGAATTTGAAACGCTAATACGATCAGTTTTGTACGAATAAACATTCACTTAAAAGGCAACTTCTATATGTGTCCCATATAAACACTTTTATTTTAYCGCTCATTTTGGTTCAACATCAATTTGAAACAGGGCAACCTGCCTTCTTTTTTACGGTTAGTGTATTTACAATTCATGTGAGTTGATGAATTTAGTACCGGTGTYTTCCGGAACGGTGAACTAAGTTTCTGATAAATCATTATATAGCATGYTTTTCTCTTTCTCTGACCCAGTTTTAGAGTGAGACTTTTTAAAGAGTATTCAGAGTTGGTTTTTCATATTTATATATGTATATGTACAAGAAAATTTAGATTCTTGGAATGAAATTCTTAGAGTTGACAACTAAGAAAATAGGAGTATCTTTGAATGTGGATATATCATCCAAGAATTGTATTCATAGATTTGTTTGAAAATTGGCCATAACTGGCTCCACAATCAACAACATTATATTCACGGTTCCAATTGACGCTGTAAGTTTGAATGAGTACTAGCTAGCCTGCGTGTATACATAAGAAAAACCTTGAGAAATTTTCAACTGAATTACRAATAGTTTCTGGCCCCGGTTTCTCTGGGTTTTCAGGCGCTGTGTCCTTGTCGGTCCCTAAGATTTGAACTTCCTGCGATTTTGGACATTTTGGCGTCTCGCAGTCTAGCTTCCTCATTTGGTACGAATTCAAAAATTCGAAATAACGGGGCAACAGTCTAGGAAAGACCATTTGTCTTCATCGAGCCTTAAGTATTGTACTCCCTTGCCTTTTCGATAAAGCCAAAGCAGATTGAAGGCGTATGGATAAATTTGATAACGAAACGTCTAAACAGGCCTCACGAACCGGCATAGTCGAAGCTGACCTTATTTTTAGCACAGCAGATTGTGTTAGAGTCAGTAACTTGCTAAAGCTGCTTGGCTAGGGCCAAGCGTGGTTGGATTGTCCATATGAAAATGTTCGTGATGTGTTGGCGCTCCTGGGATTCTGTTGAACCATTCGGACATTGGGGGGTACGTCGAAGCAGAGGGAAATGGTGAAGAATTGGACTTTCCATTTTGTGAAATCTCGTCTTGAGGACTTTCCATACCAGATTCTGATGGCTTGGCGTGAAGTTTCATGTGTTTTCTCAACGAACTCGGGTGAGTGTAGCTTTTATTACAACCATCTACCTTGCAGATATAAGGCTTGTCCGATGTGTGAACGTGAGAGTGTTTTTTGCGATCGCTCGAGTTTGCAAACCGCCGATCACAACCGGGAAACTCGCAAATGAAAGGCTTTTCTCCAGTATGAGTTCTTTTGTGTATTTTCAAGTTTTCCGAGCGAGCAAATAGTTTTCCACAACCRKGAAAGGGGCAAGGGAATGGCTTCTCTCCGGTATGTACTCGTATGTGGTTGATTAGCTTGTACTTTGCCTTGAAGGGCAAGCCATTTCGAGCGCATTCTTTCCAGAAGCACACATGAGAAGAACTCTCGGGACCTCCAACATGATCCTCGGCCAGATGAGCCACAATGTCATGCATTCGAAAAAATTGCCTTCCGCATGGCTTGCCTTTGCTGCCCGGTTCAATCCACTCACATGTTACAACATGACTCAAAGGCTGTCGAAGATAACTTGGCGGCATTGACAGGCCAGGATGTGGCATATACTCGTACCGTGGAGGTACGAAGGGACTGGCGTACTGAGCAAGCTCGGGCTTATCATCTCTTGGGAAAGAGAACCGATACGCTTGGCCTAAAGATCCACCGTTTTGAGGATAATGACCAGGGGGATCATGTGCATGTGCAACAGAGAAGAATCCATGTGGAGAGCCATTCCCACCATCACGATGGGAATCATGTAAACTACTGTAATGGTTGGGATGCAATGGATGTACGACCGACCCATGAATCATATTGTGTTGTCGTGGTATGCTCGCTCCTCTTGGCATCCCAGTATCAGTCAGTCCCATGGCTGTGTTCGGTGAACGTACAGTTGTCGGGGGTCCAGAGGTAAAATTTTCCTGCCCGGCGAAGATGAATTCGTGTGAAGAAGGACGAGAGGATCGCGTATTTTGTCCAGAAGAATAAGGAAAGTGTGCACTAGATGAGTTGCTGTAGAGATCTTGGGAAGTCATTGTAAGTACACCAGGAGCTCCAGTCAACGTCTCGTGATTGTTCACTCCTAAAGTCTTTAATTGCGTGAGAAGACGATGGAAACCTGACTGAATGAAGCAAATACTCTTTGTTCAAAACCACGTCCTTCCTATTATGAAATGGAGGTGTTTGACGACTAAATCTTTCGTGACACGATTCGTGTTTACACCTCTAATGTCATAGCTAAGAATACGTCTACTCGAAAAACGTTTTCTATATGATAGGATGACACTTTAGATCGTCTATGRAGCCTTGGCCGTGCTGTGTTCTCAGTCAAATTCGCCTTGCAGTCCACAGAGCATCTGTACGAAGCAATGTTGTGAACCCAGCGTGATAATTCTCTTTATTGTAACTCGGCTCTTATGCTATTTGATTGGCATCGTCACTTTATTGATAGTTAAACAACCAATCAACAAGGTATAGCCTGCGGGGTGTGAGCTTCGATAAATATTTGAACGCTCTTTGGTCCTATCAAAACCAATCAGTTGTTAGTATTTTCGTGATGGCTTTCTTCGGAAGGCAAGTTCATTTTCAATTACAAAGAACTTTGTGTTTTGAGTGATTGAGGCCTAAATTGTTGCAAGGAAGCGTTCGAGTTCCACCGAAGCATTTTAGGATTTTTCTCGCCTTTCATCGCAAACCCGATTAAACCTCRGTCAATATTTGTCCTTCTACCCATGATGTGTCATTTTTTAACGATCTGACCAATATTTACTATTAGTTCAAGGACTGTTTGATTATGGGGGAGGGATACACAAACCRTCCACAACTAAGGGTTTCTAATTGCCTATTTTGACCCATATACCCCCCCCGTGGTGTCTATCTGTGATCCTTTGCTGTAACGGATGAAGTCGTTACTGACCTATCTATAATCCGCGAAAAACTCAACAATTATCGTTGTTTTGACATAGTTATAATTCATAGGTATTATTAATTAACATTTGAAAAACTTGTCAAAGTCACAATTCAAAAAGAGATCGTTTTTCTTCTGATTGAGAGTCACAAGAAGTCTTCTTCATGAGCTCAATTCTACTTGATTATTTCTAGAGTCGGCACTTGAGGAAATGTTAAAATATAAAATACTGATAATTAGAAAATATGGTCTAAACATCGAATTAGAAGAGGTGTGGAGAAGCGATATAAACGTGTTTGCACGCGATATTAGCTGAGTGTCAATTATTACACGTATTATTAGGTAAACTTTTAGAGGAAGGAATACTTCTCTATACTCTTTATCTCTTTTCGACAGCGCTCGGGAAACGTCCTCGATTTTGATGTATTTTAAACAAATGAATCTTCAACTTGAGTACCAATTATGCCGCTTTCTAAGTTTACCACAAGCGGTAGAATATATTGGTCTACCCTTTGTGGATACCGCCTATCACTCAGCCGTTGCAACAGTGATGATTTCAGCGCGTGCAGCTAGCGCTTCGACTGCGATTTATCCCTTGGGACTTCTAAGACTAAATCCTATAATTCTGACATTGTATTAGTTTTAATGAGCACTCGAGTTAAAAAAAAGGTTTGAAGGTTATAATAAAACATCTCTGAACCGTGTCGACGACTAAGCGTGATCATAGTATTGGTACGGCTTCAAAGTTATGATTAGTTTAGTGCTGATGCTTTCAAAGGTATTATCTACTGATGATTGAAGTACCATGTATAAATCTCATCTGTATCGCAGACGATGGTTAGATTTTATGGGATTAATTACCGTTAAAAACAAATGACTTGAAAAGATCATCTTTATAGACAAGTACAAAATTGCAGGGGTCCAATGTAAGGTGTAGGAGTGTAAACAAGAGGGTCTTTAGCCGAATATCAAAGTAAATAAAGGTCGTAATAGGATAAACAAGACTGTTGCTATGTGAAAGTACTTAKGTAAAGTCGACCAAGAACTAAGGGAAAGTCGAGAGGAAAGTCGAGTAAAGCGGACCAAAGATACTAAGAGGAGCTCGAGACAAGCTAGACAAAGAACGAATGAACTTGAAGGGAAAATGTTGGTTGAGAAACTGGAGTGCAAAGGATAGGAAAGGAAGGAAGGAGAGGAGAAAACAAAACAAAGAAGGATAGAAAGAATGGCTCTTGGAGCTAACAATGAGAAAATATATTGTTTAATTAAAAAAGAAAAAAGTGAAAAGAAAAAAAAAAGAAAGAAAGAAAGAAAGAAAAGAAAAGAAAAGAAAAAAAAGAAAGAATGACTAAGATATCAAGTTATGAAAATATTTAGAAGAGAGAATATATCTAACATTTGTTGGACTTATTTGCTGCTGGGATAGCCTCAACAGTTTATCCAAATTAGAACACGACCATGTTCATTCAACTGTACTGTGTCTCAAAAGTTTATTTTGTTAATCCCCAAAAGAAAACAATTGATTTATCTTACAAGGTCAATGTCATTAATTTTAGCTCTAACTCCATCAACAACTATTTCATCTCTGCTTCTTAAATCTTTTCAAATTTCGTCAATTTTTTTTTTTTTTTTTTTTTTTAAAGAAAAATTAATGGATTTTTTTTTATCTCACTGTGAGCGTTTCTGCAATTTTCATAACATGCAAACTCTGTGGTGTCTGCGAGCTTTGCGCCGAAATTTGTTTTTTTCGCTACCGTCAATTAATCCTAATCARTGGGTACCTTTCATATTTTTGACTGACGGCAGCAAAAAACCAAATTTTGCGTGCAGCTCGCAGACACAGAGTTCGCATGTTTATGGAAACTGCAGTAAGGAGTTTCATACAATACCAACGAAGAAGTCGGGGAGTTTTTGGATCTACCTCTTTATTTTTGCTATTAGTTACTATTATTTTGATTTTATTTACATCAATTCGTCGAACTGCTTAAACAAACAGTTTAAGCTCCTTTTTTGTTAGAGCAGTCCCCACAGTAGAGGGTCTTTTCAATCGACCACAACAATCTCTAACCATCCCGCACAGCACTGGTTTACTTTTCCAAATATTGTCATTTCGCCTCCTTAATCAATAAGTGTATACAAATTGGGAACTTTGGATTGAAATATGCCTCAAGGATAATAGTATCATAAGACGTTGGTAGAGGGRAAAAAACATAACATTTAAGGTTATAGACCCATTAGAACACGTCTACAGACGAAAATCGTACGTCACTTGTCCTGGTATCATCTTGTTCAACCACAAAAAACACAGGTTACACCTCGGTAGGCTATGGGAATATCATTCAAATATTGAAATAGGATTTAACTTTCATTAATGTAATTATTGAAAGCGTTAACAAAAGGCGAAAAGTGCCACTTAGTTTCATTGAACAGATGAGAAATTTGAAAAAGATTTTTGGATAWGAATATTGCGTGACTGAGAGTCCGAAACACGGTGGGATAGCAAACTTAGCATCCTTTCTAGAACCATGAATCAACTCGTTAATAATGGATGATATGGAACCAGCTTGTTCGTGGGCCATCTCGTTTAGAACTACAAAGTAGGCACTTCAAAGAGGTAGCTACTCGCTATCTGAGAAAGGACGTACTCGACTCGAAGCACACAAATGAGAGGCACACACAAAAAAAGGCTTGAACTCGCTGTGGGGCAACTTTAGGTCAAATCACGCTGTGCCTATAAGATTGAATAATATCAAACATGCAAATTTTTTGGTATTTGTAATTATTTTAAGGTCTCCCTTAGGCCAACGCGAAGTTCTCATAATATAAACAATCTGGATAGCGCAGTTCTGATAATTTATGGATAGCTAACCCTTGTGGAGTCGTTTCCCCTTTAGCGTGGAACAGACCTCGAAGGCCAAGATAAGACTTATAMATTTTCCATTGATCAGTGGATTATAAACTGATGTTCTAAGCGTTACAAAATCGGCGTTATATCTGAGAACAAAAACAGAGATCGCCTATCACAATGGGATATCGCATATTTTAGCACTATTGTTATTTAGGGCTGTATTTCCAAAGTACCGCATTGTCCGCAAAATAAAATAAGACGAAAGATTTTATAAAAATATGAAATCTTTATACAGGGACAAATAAGATCATTTTCGAAAGCAAAATTTCCGCACTTTAACATTTCCCAACTTCTTTTTCTCCTTACTTTTTTTAATCTTTTTTTTTTTTTTTTTTTTTTTTTTGAGGAGAAGGTTTCACGCATCTATAAAGTGGATATCTCGATTACCGTTCTTCTTAACAAAAAAAATCGAATAGTAAGGGTGTCAGACAGCCCGCCAATCGAATTTCCAAACGCTCGCTCACTTCTAAGTGTTCTGTTAGAGGCCACCAACCACGTCCACAACTAGCACTGAAAGTGTTAAATAAACATGTTTTATAGAAAAATTGGCGTTAAAGTCCAGGCTAATCTACTGCTGAGCTGTTGATTTTGACAGTTTGTGAACAAATTTTCACTTCATTTGACGGTCAACGAGAAGAGCAAGCCCGGGAAGTCCGATCACATGCACGCTGCTCGTCATTGTCGCTGAAAACGAGGATCTTAGGGCGAGCATATTCATATATTTTGAAAAAGCTCCATTTTACAAAGACAGGGGCTGTGTCRGGCTTTAATATTAAACACGCTATTCAGCCCCGGATACGAAAAGCTATTTAGCTTACCTCTCATTAATAACGTCAAAACAGATTTCAAAATCAGATTTTTCGATTAAAGTTAGKGATATCAAGTAAGGTCAACTGCTTGTGCGATCTCATACGACTTGTTACATCAGTAGAACTAAACTGCTATTTTTTGACTTCGCCTCGGGCGAGAAACTAAATCCAATCACCGAAAAACTTCACAAGCTCTTGACCCATTGAACCTGGGCTGTCAGTCGATATAACTGATCGACAAATGCGTAAAACAGATGGACAAACTAGTATATAAGATCTTCGCATCGTCTTTGTTACATTCTAATCCTATTTAGAAGATGTTTTCTTTTATATTATCCTTTCGTTTAAGTGTAATAAGAAATTTAATTACTATTGGCGAGAGGCATCGATGCGGGAGAGAGAAACGAGCTAAGTTATATTATCTAAACAAGACGATTACCAAAATGTTGTTCTTATCATCTTTATATTATCTACAACCTGAAATATAGTTCTAGATTTATTAGAGATTGCTTTCTCTTGTCAAACGACGTCCAACGGAGGTAAARTTTCGTAAATTATTTCTCCCAAGCTCGCGAGGCTCAGTTCGAAATGAATTTTTTTCTCGTAAAAATTCAGCATGTTGTTCCGTGTTAAGCGCACAGGAAAGAAGTCATTATTTATCAGATCTCTGCTAGAGGTCGTTAAGCGAACATGTGAGAGCTAAATTAATTGAAATCATCGCAACGATGAAAAATATTTCCCATCATCTGGTAATCTTGTGACTGACCCAATCGATGGAGCACGCGTTAAGGTGTCAACAGCTATTTACTGGTGCAGTCCTGATGGCCAATAATCTCTTTGCCAAATGTTATACCACTGGATTTATAAAGAAAAAAACACACTTAAACTCGAAAACTTAATTTCACTTACAACACCAATAATTATTTTCTTTATTGATATTAGTATCAGAATAACAGGTTTTTTAATATCCCATTTTCGATTGAAAGACAAAGACTGAAAGACGCATGAAATTGGAAATGAGGATTGGAAGCGGAAGTTCGTTTTCAGAAGCCCAGTTGCGATTGCTCGTTTGATGAAAGAATCGTCCTATATCCGCTTGCAGAAGTACTTGAAATCTCAAGTACATGGAATTGCTGAATCAAGTGTGAAAAGATTTGTTGATATGACATTAAGATAACTTTGTCGTTCACCAACTGTTAAATATAAGTCGCCTACAGCAAAGGTGCGAAAAGACACTTAACTAATACACGATTTAGGCTTCGCAATACGTAATATCAAAATCAAATTGAATTAGTTTTCAAACCAGATTCAAATAAATAGGCTTTCCACAAAGTAAGATCGATATATAGCGAGTACCAAAGGTCAAAACACTTGAGTATTGTTATATTATATAATAGATCAAATATCGATTCATTAATGTAAGCGCTCTTCACACAACAATGTTAATTATATCCATCATCGTATCGCCACTGCTAAATTAAAAATGAAAGAAATATAAAAATGGCTTTGTCTTAAACTATATTTTTTATAACAAAAGACCTTTGTATTTTACTTGAAAACATATATGATAAATATATTATTTTAGATAAAAATAAAAATAAAAATATGGGTAGTTTGATAAACCTAATGATTCGACCATCCTTCTTTACGAAGCCTTGAAAGTATTGGCTCATTTTAAGCACATTTGTGGTTTGTTAATTAAAACAAATGAAAAAAAAACCTTACAATTTTATCAAAATTCTAGTTAATTCCACAAACATTAGTTCCATGATTAAATTTACTTTTCTGACTTAGGAATATTAAGAGAGCAAAGCAGTTTTGAAGTGAACTATTTTTTATCTAATGAAAGTAATARCTTAACTGAAAAAAGGACTGTTGTGAGTGTAGTGAGTTAAATAGATTATCCAATGTTGAGTTACAAAATTTACTACTATATCTTTGGCTTTTTTTCTTCTGGAGACTATCTTCTTTGAAACATTGAAAAGTATTGAATTCATAACTTGAACTTTTAATTAGTTTTTGGTACTGAATAATCTTATAATTTTAATGGTGAATCCCTTGTTCAAACTTAAATTTTCACCCATTTTTTGTGGTGGAATAGAACACGTGTTGAAGGTTCAGTTTCTCGAAAAAATATAAATTGTAATTTCTACTAATTATCTGTAAATATCATCTAATGTTTCATTTAAAAATTTAATTCAAACACAGCCTTGGACATACTTTTCAATTTGATCCTAAGACTAATTGCAAAAATAACATCCACGTTTACTCTTAAATGAATTTAGTATAAATAGAGCTATYCCAAGCAAGATGGTTTTTAATGATGATGGTTGGAATTACTTCTACCACAATCTTACTATAACATGACACAAAATTTATGTACGTTTGCCTCCTAAATGTATGTCTCATTATTTGAGTRAAAAGGTAATTATTGAAGTAATAGTTGGAAATTGAATTGGAATTTGAAAGAATAAATCCTAATRTAATTTAGGAAAGAAATCTAATTTTTATCTTAGTTCTTAAAGCATGTGCTAGAGACAACAATMAAAATAAATTTGAGTGCAAAGAAAGAATCAACTTTACAGAAAGTAATTTATTGATCAACAAACGATTCCAGAATTATTTTACAGTGAAGATACATGAACCGTCGGTAAACACCACTTATCTGGACATTCCTGAACTTTCTACTGTTTCAAACCCTCTACTATGAAACACTGAATTCAAATACATGTATATCGAAAGATCGAAAACTATTTATAGTATGTATTTTAACTCAAAAGCGACAAAACCTGGAAGTGTAAGTTCGCACGGTTCGAGTATCCTCACTGTAAAWTTGAGGCAACAGAAAGACACAAAAAGGTCATGCTTTTCACGTGGTAATATAAGATACCTCTTTCGTATTTTCCTATCAGGTTCGCTTTTAAATTAATCAACTATGCTACTAATGTCAAAAAAGTTTCGTCCAACAAGCGAAAGTCTGTACAAAGAAATCGAAAGGATCTTAGTAAACAACTTTGTAGCTTCTCGTACCTTTCTCAACAGAAGTTGCCCCAAACTTTCACGACTGCTTTAAGAGAAGATTCCTCCAGCAAAAATATCAAATATAATACTCTAATGACTAAGATAATATGAAAACCATTTCTTGATAAGGAGCCTAGCAAAGAGTCTACTTTGGTCCAATTAAACTCACTCCCAACGGCTCAAGTGGAGTGGAGAGCCTTGGGAAAGGTTTATAGGTCGAAAACCATAAAAGAGATGGCTCTCAAGGGAGCCAAGCTACACAACAGGGTCCACAATATGCACAGCGAGATAACCTAGACAAAGAAGACTGTAAAATCTCAACAAGATATTATATATTGCGTGTGATTCTCGTGTGTGTGGCATACTGAGAGAGAGGCTCTTTATTAGGCATTTTATAGTCAAAGCTTTCAGTATGGAGTACAGTGAGGTTAGGATTGTGCTACGAATGTTTGTCAGGTATTTTTAATGTTAAAACAAAAAAGATAACTACCATAGCTGGAAATAGTATGTTAAAATTAGTAAGAAGGTGAAGTTTGAAGGAAAAAAAGTTTAAAACTCGCGAAGATATGATTTTCGAAAAGTGGAATTTTGCCAGCCAACCGGTGCCGTGTAGGCAAGACTGCCAYCAAGGAATGTTTTCATTGCAAGATGATTTTGATTTTGGAAATTTCATATTTTTGCGATTTTTAAACTTTTTTCCTTCAAACTTCAACTTTTTACTAATTAGAACATGGTTTTTCCAGCTATGGTAGATATTTTTCTGTCCTTATTCTTTTTATTTTTCTTCTCCTTTTTCTTCTTTTTCTTCTGCTCTTTCTGGCTTCTGGCTTTTTTTCTCCTAACATTTCATTTTATTATTTTATCTCCTTTGTTTCTCATTTTCTTCCTTTCTTTGATCATTTTCTAGTTTTTATCAAATTTACACATCTGATTAAGTATTCTCTTCTCTTCTCTTCTCTTCTCTTCTCTTCTCTTCTCTTCTCTTCTCTCTCTCTTTTCCCCTAGTAGTAATTTCCCCCCCATAGTTTTCATCTCATGCAAAAGTATGATGCCAATTAAAAATGCAATTACTATTAGGTTAATTAATTTTTTGCCCTCTTCACAAAACCAATTCTTTTAGATAGTCCATATTAATATTATTCTCTATCAATATACGTAGGCTAGGCTTTCTAAATTATGTATACAATTATCTTCTCAAGATTTAAAAAATATATCTTTGGTAATGCAGTCGAACATACTTTACATAGCTGCCATTTTTTTTTAAAGACAACTATTTTGAAATTGAGTTGTGATTGGTGCAGATTTGCACACGTGTCATAAATAGCGGAAAGCCAGCTAAATGCTTCGTAAAACCATTTAAGTGCTACAGTATCTTTAGCACAGTCAGCGAGAAACTCATTTAAATGCTATAAAACCCATTTGAGTGCTACAAGACGTTTAAAACAGTTAGTACAAAACCCATTTAATTGCTGCACAAAACCATTTGAATGTCAGTGAAACCCCCATTTCAATTCTCTGAAAAAACTATTTAGCTATGTTATAAAATAAACCAAGTAGAAAACATTTTATCATATAATTATCCATAATATACCTATATTTCTCCTTTTCGAAAAACTGATAATTTCACATATAATGAACAATATAATACATGGGCGCTTGGAGATACGAAATTTATCTTCTCGTGTTGGAAGTTTCACAACCATTCGCTGCGCTCACTCATGAGAGATCTTTTCAACACTCGAAGATAAATTTCGCATCTCCGCACGCCCACGTAATATCCTTTATTTTATAATATTTAATACTACAGTATGTTTTACGATRTCGTCAGTTGACGTATGTATAGAACATTCTGGAAGCAGAAAAAACCTTTGAAAGCAAAAATAACATGTCTTTGTTTTGTTTTTACATTTTTCCGAGCTATCAATCTTTCATTTGAAAAAAGAAAGAAAAAAATGAGTCCAACGTTACTTCCTTGACCAAGCCATAAAAATATAACTAAAGAAAAAATGATCAACAAAATTTCTTAGACGTGGCATATTTCATAAAATATTTCATCGAAAGCCCGTGTCGTTTATTCAAGGTTTTCTGCTGAAAATATTTTTGTATTGGAAGTTTATTGCAAATCTTAGTTTTATTGCAAACTATATGATTTATTATGTGATATATAAAAAGAAAAGAAATTCTGAGTTATTCCAATTTCAAACCCTCTGTTGCTCAAGATTGGCATTACTCTGACTTAGAGACCAGATGTTGTTTCAGGATTCAATGTGTGCCGCCGCGTTAGCCACGCCCTGATCTG